GAAGCTGCATTTTCTCAGTGTAAGCATCATTATCCAAAACCAAAAACACAAGAAAAAGGAAAAAAAAGATCTAACTGAAAGCTGCAGTACCCCCATAAAAAGCACATGAACCCTAAAAGCAAAAGTGGCCTAATTAATTCTGCATCTCAGTTCCTTTTCCACCTCCTGTTGTTGAAGATGTAGGGCCCTGAGACTATTATTGCTTTTAGATCACTTTGTTATTGACTATTCTCTGTATGATCATTTATTTTAAAGGACTGATGTCACATTTGGTGTTATATCTGATGACATATTGTGGACATTTTCTCCCAGAAATGGCTCTTTAAGGCTGAGTGCAAGAGGTTAAGCTGCCTGACTGAGGCCAAACGTAAGACTGCAGATTTTTAATCTAAATTCCTAATATCCTCTGGAATATAATTTAACATTTATTTTGTATACTACATGTTATTATTGAACCGTGAGCTGCGTGCTGCATATTCATGTCCAGAAAAGGGAGAATAAAAATGACTTTCTATCTTATTAAAAAATAAGCAATGTATATTTTGCAAAAATCAAAATAGTTTTTATGTGGGGAGAGGCATTTCCCCCCTTAATCAATATAATTTTAACTGACTTCTAAAAATCATAATATGTGAAACTACAATAAAAAAAATTATGTTATCAAATCCAAAGGACCTTTTTCAGCTTTTCCAATTTGCTTATCAGACTTCATAAACTGGATCATAACAAAGGGAGGAAAATGTTTTCTTACGCTCTGATAACAAGATGATGCAGAATAGGAACAAATGAAAATAATGTCTATTCTCTTTTTCCGTGAGCCATCAATCACAACCATCTACAAATCAAGGCTCAGAAAGTATCTAGGTATTTGGACATTTATTACCATCTTTCCTGCCTCGTAATCTCATGCTAAAACACCAGGGCTGGGGAAAAACCACTACACACAATGCTACCTAGAATCCCATTTGATTTGTAAATGCTCCCTTCCTGGATTAAAATACTCAAATGGGAAAGTGTTGCTTAAAAGGAGAAATATTTTATCCTCTGACTTTGAAACAAAGGGTCTGTGTTAAGGAAGTTTTGCCTGTGTAATATAATAAATAAATACATTTGACACCATCATTGAATAGGACCCCTACATTAACTATAAAAAAAAATGAACTTCTCCTTCTGGGGTGAGTAACTGTGAAACGCGGCATTGGACCCTTGGACAGTGGTGATAACGGAGTTAGGCTCATTACCAAGCTCTGTACCCGCTGCGACTGGCAAGCGGCGGTTTATACACTGACCATGCTCCACGGCTGTTTTTAGTGTCGCTTCAGGATGTGTCGAACCTAGAGGGTTACGCACAAATCGTCGCCGGCGCCGCAAGTCATCTTCCCAGTAGTCAAGGCGCCAGAACTCACGAGGACGACTACAATGAAACAGAGAAGCCACATATGTTAGCAATTATCAAACAGCGTGGTAGCGCTGAATTTCTGCATAAAGCTCTCCTTGTTTGCTCTGCCTTTTTCTCCCCCCTCCTCTCTCCTTCCTCTTAATTCTCCCTCCTTCTCACACTCCCCTTTCTGCAATCTTTAACTTAGGTATGTCCTTGAAAATAACAATATCACCTTCTGGTCTAAGGAACTCCTTTTCCTTTTCTTGGAAGGTGAAATGAGCACTAAATACATCATTTTGAAATGAATTGCTGACAGTGTGATCAGTTTCCCCACACTCTGGTGGCATGTGCTCGGATTTCAGCCTCATTTCAGCCTCAGCAGGGCACCTTTCTCGTGGCTGCATTTATAAACCAGAATAGGGAAAAGGCTATTATAAATATGGTATAGCATTACCTATATTAATCAAAGTCTGTCCCCCTTCATTTTTCTTCCTAATTTGTGCCTTTTTGCACAAGGTCAGTAAATCATATCATGAATTCTTGGTCCAGAAAGTGTTAACTTTAATGAATATCTCAGTTACATGGTTATGTATGTGATAATAAAATATTACTCTGTTTAGATGTGCAGGAATTTAATTAAAATAATCTCTTAAAATATTCATTACATTTAGCCCCTGAGGCTTAGAACAACACAAGAAAATGCATTTCTTTTCCATTTACTGTTTTTAAATAAACCATTCCTGTAGAGTGAAACAGCAATCTATTTTCAAGCAAATCAGATTGGATTTCTGCTTTATGTACTCTGTTTTTATATTTAATTAAAAACTACATGCTATATGATGTGCAATAATTGCCATATCAAAAGTATACTTTTGTAAATGTATTTCTGGGGAAAAAAAGGTTCATTCAATTCAAGGTCTCTGATATTTTCCCCCAATTACGTAGATCTTTTTATATGGTAATTTATATATATGTCAACTTTCTCTCCTTTTAACTAATCATGGTCTAGCATGCAGGAAAATATTTTGTAAGGAAAATACTAATATGAAGTTTTTACATTTACACTATGGGAAAAAAATCTCTGCAGAACATATTTAATTGACTAAAGGTATACAGCACAAAAAATTGTTAAGCTTCAATAAAGACATAAAAAGGTATGCATAATCAAAATTTCTGCAGGAGTGACAAATACAAAATAAAATCTCACTTGTATTTCATGAGCTAATAAAATTGTACCTGTCAACTTTGACAAATTAGTAGTCTTGACCAACTGACAGTCCTAAAATACCCAAGTAAAAGTTTTCCTAATTTTGATCTTCTAAAGATGCTATCTTTAAAAATTCAAAATATCCTTATAAAGAAATACATGTATGAATTAGAATTGCCTCAGGCTAATAAAAACAGGCCATAAATGGCATATTATTTAAAAGCCATATGTTAAAAACAGTAAAAATTCAATGTTATTTTCTGAGAATGCTAAGGAGACCAGGCTGAAGAGAACAGAACACATTTCCTTTGTTGACTCTGGTCATACACAGGAGGGAGAGACAGAATATCATAATCAAAACAAAATACAAGAGAGGGTAAGAATTGCAGTCCTCAAAAAGCACAATTAAAAAGCTCTTTTTATTACCTTACTCTACTTTCCTTCGTTATTTTGCCACCTAAATTCAAGAAAACGAACACTACCGTATCATTTTTAAATCAAGTAAGCAATGCCTACAGAACACACATACAGGCGAAAGACAACAGTTGTTGAACTCAGTTAATAAAATAAAATTCTCCTTAGGTGAGAGGGAGAAAGGAGGTCCACAGATGGCTGGCGGAGGGCTTTGATAGTCATGGAGCGAGGGTAGCACTTCATCATTCTGCCTACCTACATTTATCTGTTAAAATTATTATCAAATATCAGCCAGGATGCAGTCGTGAATCACAGGCTGCTCCTCGTCTTCAGGGGAATGACACAATGAGGGTCTATTCATCAGGGCGGCAATCCTCACAAGTAATTAGTTCCCTAGGTTGAGCTCTCCTACAAAGCCTGTCTCCGTCAGCACCACAAACATATGACGATGTAAAGCTAATGAAAGCTGCTAAAATTTGTTAACCTTTTACGCCATCAATCCTTCTAATGCTCTGTGCTTCGGTATTACGCAAAGACGGTAAATTATTCATTTGTCATTCATCCATCCTGCTGCATTTCGAGTCAAATTAAACGATGTCATTCTTTTTGATAACAATTAAAAGCATAAGAGATGGTAAGCTACCATGATGAAATTCTTACTAAATTAGGCAACGAGAATTTCTGCCATGGTGCGCAGCCGGGCATGAAACCCGTGGCTGTAAAAGCAAGTGCACAATCGTTTATATTGAACCGAAAAACCAAAGGAATTATTAAATCACTTACAAATGATCAAGCAACTCGAAGAGACTATCAATGGCAATAATAACCCAAATTAGGAAGAAACAGAATTACGCCATTTATTTTTGTAGTCTTCAACATTAACAAAAAATGGCCAACATGGTGGCATTTGACCGAATCAAAAGCATTAGCTGTTGAGAATTCGTACCGTTAGTAGCAAATTTTAAAAGATAAGCTTCGGGACTAGCAGTTAGCATAATGGCTATGTCACTGGACTCCCATGTAGTCGACCGCGGTTCGAGTCCTGGACCTGGGGGCTTAAACTCATGCCGGGCGCATGTGCGTGCATGCCCAAGACCCTGAGAGGAGATTGGAGGAGAAGGGATTGCGGCGTGGCCGTCCCCCCTGGGGGGTGATTTCTCACTTTCTGTCTCTCTGTCTCTCTCTCTCTGTCTCTCTGGTGAGCACACATGCCCTGTAGCAAAAACCTCTCCAAAAAAAAAAAACAAAAGATAAGCTTCGTTTACACTAACTATATCTAGTGTGACTTAAAATACAAATATGCTACTCAGCTTCATTTACACTAACTATATATAGTGTGACTTAAAATACAAATATGCTACTCAAAATCTAAAAATAAAAGAACTACTCGGATATAATCTAGATAGAATAAGGAACTTTTTACCCCAGTAGAATAATACATATTTACAATCTCCTGAAGCTATGTCATTTAAAGACTATCTTCTCAACATACTCTTCCTACAACAATTAAACATAACCTGAAGACAACACAAATATTGCTTATTTCAGAGCACAAATCTAGCAAGGATTATAAAATCGTCTAAGGAGACCAACAATTTTAAGGCTTTTTTAAATTTTTTTTTTCATCTCTCTATAAAAAGCACTGCTCCAGCCGAGATGGGACACAAAGCATTCAAGAAACGTACTTAAAATCAGTACCTATGAGTTTCATTTGGAAAAAAAAAAAAGCAAAACAAAAAAAAAACAGCACTTATTCCATTTCTGACTGTGAAAGTAACGTATGTTCTCTGGAGAAAAAGCCACACTGACTTTCTGAGAGGAAGGCACGGCGACAAGGTTCAAATCCATTTACAAAGGAATGGCCTGGCCTAGAAGTCCAATGTTAGGTTTCCCATCTCAGTTCCCTCCAAGACATGCACACTCGGCATAAAGCTCTCCTACTGAAAACACCAAGCACCCTGGGACCACCAGACGGTGTAATGGCTATGTCACTGGACTCCCATGTACTCAACTGAGGTTCAAGTCCCGGAACTGGTGACTTCAAACTCATGCCAGGTGCATGTGCGTGTGTGCCCCAAACCCCAAGAGGAAAATGGAGGGGAAGGGATTGCACCATGGCCATACTTCCAGGGGTGATTTCTCACTTTCTTTCTTTCCATCTCTCTCTGTCTTGCCAGGGAGCGCATAGGCCCTACAGCAAAAATCTCTCTCAAAAGAC